CAAACGTTGCGGTTTCTGTCAAGCTCGACCCTGTGCGGGTATGTCTGTTCGTTAAAGCACTTCAGCATTTTTACAAGGTCAGCTTCGCTTTCCACTTTTATGGCTGCCGCCTCTTTGCCTCCTTCATGAACAGTGGCCTCATCTGTGGTTGGGGTCGCCTCTGTAGCTTCGGACACGGCTTCTTCATCTGGCTGGACAGTGCCTTCCTCTTCGGTTTCTGTTTCGGTACTTTTGTCGGCCCTGCTGATGTTTGCTTTTGCGGCTGGTGCCTTGTTTTTCTCTGCGAGTAAGAGTTCTCGTTCTTGTTTTGCCTCTCGTGTAGCTGCTTCTGCTTCTGCTGTTGTTTTTACTAGCAGGGCGACTTCTCTGTACGCGGACTCTCTGGCTTCGTTTAGTAAGGCCGTCTCTGCCTTTCTTTCTTCTCTTTCGGCTTGTCGGTAGGTTGCTGCTTGGTCCTGATCCGTCTTCAGCTGTGTCAGGAGGCCTTGGAGTTTTTTGTTTGCTTCATTTACTTCTGCTAGCAGCTTGGTGTGGTGCGCAGCTTCTGCTATTCTGTCTCGCTTCTGGGCTCTGACTTCGTCTAGTTTCCGATCTCCTCTCTGCTAGTCCCATAAGCATCAAACGACTGATCATACCAGCCGCGTTGACTAATCTGATATCCTGTGCCGTTAGTGAAATATGCACCTCTGCCTGCTCCAGGCTGCACACCCATTTTCATGGACAGGGATACCGCTTCTTCGCCGTTCGTCCCAGGGACGTAAATTCATTGTGCCTGTTTATAGCATAGCTGCGATATTTACACCTTTCGGCCGACACACCAGACTTCTTCGGGTATATGTTAACCGGGTTAACCTTCCTGGTTGGGTTCATGAAAAATTTGTTTGATTGGTGACCACGTCATCCCCTGTTCTACGGATCTTGTCCATAGAGGCCCCTGGTACACCACAGTGTTTATTTATTCCCCTAGCCGACACGTGTAGGCATTCTGCTGAGAAACCACCGACCCGGCTGCTTCGAGACACCAGCTAAGTGATTTTTGTGTATCTGTGTAGTATTGTTTGAATTGTATGTGCTGATGAAGGCTCCATAGCCTCAAAGTTCATGTTTTGTTTGTATTTGTTATATTGTGAAGCTTGATTAATATATTTTTCGTTCGGTTTTATATCTTTTCTTGTACACAGAGGGCGCGTCTAGGGCAGCCGGGTAAAGATGTGTCAATCCATCCCTCCATCCATTTATGAAAAAGAAAACAAAAACATCGACCACGACCAACCTAATGAGGAGGGGGCTGGTGTGCACCAATATCGCACTCCCGTGCTTTTGAATTCTATGGAAAAAAAATGATTTGTGAAATAATAGTGCGAATGAACTCATAGTGTCTTGGTGATCATCATCATCATCAGGTGCCATCTGCGATCTCCTGCAGCATGTATCAGTTCGTGTGCCGACACACCTCCATGCCATGCAACAAGACTGTCAAGCATTTTCTCTCGTTGTCTTCCTCTATCTCTCCTTTCACATATCTTTCCAGTGATGTCTTAATGATACAGACACATAATATAGCACTGCATGCAATTAGCATTATATATATATATATACACATATACAAGCATACACACTCATATGCGTGTATATATATATATATATATAAGTAAGTAAAGTGAAGGACCCTTTTCCACGCCTTTAGGCGTATAGGGTATATAGGGCTAGACCTATATTTTCATAGACCAATCGGCACAAGATGGGTGATGTGGTCAGCGTCACGCCGGGTGTATGTATATTTATATATTTCAATGCATTTGGAACACACACACACACACACACACACACACACACGCATATATGTATATATTAATCTATTTATTTGTGAAAATTGTGTGTGTGTGTGTATACACACACACACACACACACACATATATATATATATATATATATATATATATATATATATATATATATATATATATATATATACCGTACCATGTTAAACAAATGACTCTGGTTCTCAGTTCGACCAAGCCTTAAATGTGTACTAGTGTTGAATATGAAATACCCCAAGTTTTGCCTATTTCCTAATATTAGCACCTTGGTTACTAGTTTGGATCTTTTGTTTGTATATGTGACACTTTCGCACTATCCACTACTATAAGGATTTGAGTCTAGGTCAAAATGGACGCTAGGCGGGCCACAGTTTTTGGAACCGAGGCAATTTTTTTGCTTCTTCCGGACGGTGGCCGATGCATTTTCGTTCCATTTGTAGACTGGATATAGTTTCTTCGCCCAGCTTCTGAGTTGAATGCATGGCGTGACACTGTGAGCAACGGATTTCATTTGGAATTTTTTTTCGACTGTGACCAACGTGGTGGTGTGAACTGTAGATTCAGAAAATGGCGCGATGCCTGTCGTCGCAATTTTGGTGGTACCCGAATGTGATTAAAATTGATCGCGTGGGCAACTGCAGATCTGTTGGTGACTTCTGCTACCATCAATTATGAACTGCATTCCTAATGCTGGACTGTTTGTGTTAGCACTTCGGATGGCTACCGTATACTTTAATGCGAGTGTATGCTAGATATGCTGAGACAGCATCTGTCAATCTATCCACAAGGGACTGTGATAAACATTCTGTGTGTTTTTCGTTGGCACAGGAGCAGAGCAAAGATGGGGTGACCCGTTTGCTATGAAGCTGAAACTAAGACTACCAGACTATAAGGGTTGGAGTCTTGCATGACGGATGTGCACGCCACACTCAGGTTCTAGAGGAAGACTAAAGTCCGGAGGTGGACAAACACCCAGTGCTTTCCGCCGGAGTTTACAGGAGGTGAACGCGAAGAAGAAGATACAAAAAACGTTCCTTCCTTAAGGTCCGCGGTTATACAAAGCAGTAATTATTTCTTTTGGGCACTAACAGAACAGAATACGTTTTTAAAAAAAAGTGAAGCAAAAGACATTTCTGCTTGCCTCCTACCTATAGTGTCAACAAAGCACGAACTCTGCAGCTTCAGTAACGATCCCATTGCTACGTGACACATACACGACACAGCGAGATTATAATGGTACATTACTTTGCAATTCTAACATACATATTGACACTATTGTCTCTAATGACAGCCGCGACACGTGTAAACCCTCGGATATATTTAGCAAGCTCGCACATGACGCTCGGAATTTTCCCCAGCTGAGTAATCACGCGAGAGCTTGCCTATACCAGGGGCACCACTGTAACAACCAGGGCTTTCGACATTTGTTTCGGAATAGTACCATTTTTCTTTGTTTTTTATAAATGGTTCCAAAACACACACAAAATGTACACATTTTTTTTTTTCATTAAAAAAAAAAAACCGTTAAAACGTCGTTAAACGTTCCCACATACTCGCATATTTATATGTGTGTGTGTATATATATTATATGACTTTTTTTATTTGATCAGAATTGACATTCCTTGTTGTACCACTTTATATTCGCTCAGTTTATTACGAAGCAGTTAGCTATTGTGGCGGCTTATAGTTGGTACCGTTAATAGTTCTGGAGCAATAAATTCGATATCCCCGATTGAATTTTGTTGTTGCAAGTCTTCAAAGAAGAGCGATTTTTTAAATTCTAAATATTGTTAAGCAGAAAGAGAAAACTAAGCAGCTGCAGAGAAATTAAATAATTCCGAAAGACTAAGCATAAATGGTAAGCGATGTTCATCTCCACGTTTCTTCTGAAATTGTGAACCAGAATGTTGCAGGTGTTCTTCCAGTATTAAGTGGATGATCTTGCATTAATTGCTGTCGCAGTTACAAGCCATCCCCTCGTGGGATGCAATTTGTCGTTATTCGGAGCCCCACTCTGGCTATAATATAGCCATACCGGCTGAAAGGGGTTTCTGGGACCTCTTCCCGGGGGATCCTCATCCGCATGGTGGCAATTTGTGTCAACTGGTGTTTACCGTTTGAGAGAAAGAGAGAGAGATAGATAGATAGATAGATAGATAGAGAGAGAGAGAGAGAGAGAGAGAGAGAGAGAGAGAGAGAGAGAGAGAGAGAGATTAATTCCCCTCATTCTTAGGTTGTTTGTTTTTAATGCACTTCTTGTGAACCTTCATGATCAGTGTTACAACTGACGTCGGCTTCCATCAGTAACGCTTAGGCCTGTTGAATCTAGCACATCAAGTAACTAGCTTTTTAAAGAATTCACAAGACAGAACACGCATGCTCCGTGCTGAGTGGCAAGCATCACTTCAGAGGTCCCGAGTAGTTTGCATCCTTTAGATACTTTTTTCAGGTCATGCCGGTATGTTGAGAAATGAGCAGGCAGATAGACTGGCTGGTTTTGCACCGATCGGTGGGGAACTGATGTATGACAGGCTGGATGTTGTGAGGGCTCTTTGGAAGCGAGTGAACAGTGCGGAGACACAGATAGATAAATACGGTCTGGGGAGAATGGCGCTGTGAGGAGTTACAAGGGAATCTGGCCAGCGCTCAACACTCAGGGGTAAGACGAGACAGATATACTATCAGACTGTTAAAGGAGTTATCGGAATTGGAACTCTTTGCTTGCTGCTGAAGATGGGGACGGAGCGCTTATGGGATGTTCCGAGTGCTGTGATGTCGATTCTCAGTTCAACATTCACAAGACAGAAAGCGCTGAAGCATCTGCTGTATTAGACAAATGTAGAATTTTCAATACACTCCTTATCATCTTTTTGAAAAGGTTTAACACAATGCCAGAATTTAAAATACTGATGTAACATTTCTTAAATGTACCAAATCATTGGGCGTGGTACCAAAAGTAAGTTTTGCCCGGTAAGGCTAAAAAAAGTTCGGTTTGTACGAATGTACCAACTTCGGCAGCCCTGATCACAACTACAGGGTAAACATGGCTGACTTGCCCCACAGAACATACCTCGGACAGGACATGGAAAGTGACGAATTGCGTCAACACTAAAGAATTAAAGTATTATTTTCGGGTAGTGTCAGACACGTACGTTGATAAAGACGTTAACACATGGTACAATGTCGTCGTTAGACGAACTGCAGGCTGAAATAGAGCGGTTGACTAAGGAGTTGAATGAAACGACAGAGCAAAAACTGCAAGCCGCCGAGTATGGTTTGGTTGTTATCGAGGAAAAGCAGCAGCTACAGCAACAGTATGAGGATTTAGAAGCGCAGTTGGAAGCTACACGTATTGAGTTAGAATCAGCCAAAGAGGTAAGCATCCAGAGATCGTGATGTTGAGCAGTGATACGTCATAAATTACTAAGTAAGATAGATAATGATAATTAAATTCAATTTATTTTATATTTTGAAAAAAGGACACAAACAATGTTAATAGATTTAGATTGCACAATTTATTGCCTGGCATATGATGATATTATTACTAATATTATCGCCATATCTCGTCAGGTACACACTACAGTAACAATTACATAAATAAAGCAAACAAGTGTATCTTTCACAACTGAAGTACCAGCAGCAGCTACCGCATTTTTTGCAGCTTCATTCATTTTATTTGCTCTCGTGAGTCCCAGCCACCTAGTTTAGCAACAATCCACGCCGCGTGAGCGGCGTAGGGGATACTCTCGGCGGTGGCGGTAAATGCGCAGTTGACACGTGACTGAGGCCCTTTTAGGGTATATTTTCGGCCTTGATAATTTGGGACCGTTATTCGGAGGATAGCCATTATGTCTTTTTGTTTACTGAGTTCACAACTCAGGCCAGTTCCGTATTCATTACATAAATTCAGTCAATATGATGTTTAAAAAAAAAAAGTTTGTTGCGTATCCTTTACAAGACATTGGCGAACCAAACCCAACATTTTTTGGCTGTTGTGGTTTTTTGATGTTATTTACGTCCAGTAGTTTGCCATTGCTTTCTGGGTGGTTGGCTTTTCGATACCACTGTCGAAACCCACACAAGGCGCAAAGCCTGCAGCTGGGATCAAACCCAGCACCCCAGCCTTACAAAGTGCGTTTGCAACGCCTAAGCCACAGACGGCGACCAGAATGTTGAGTTACCCCTCCCAAAAAAATTGATTGGTATTGGCATTGTTATTATTCACAGTGTACTGGTATTGTCTGTACATTATTATTAATGTTTAAAAAAAATTGCGAGCAGATAAAATATGGAGAATCAGTATAATTATAAGAAGAAATGAAGAGTGTGTGTTTTGACAGCTGGTCTTTATTGAATTTTCTTGGTGTTTTTTTAAACTTTTATTACCAGCATGTTATATTCCAAGATGAAATTATGTTTCTTGTTATCTTTTATCACAAAATATTATAGTATGTTCCAGTGTGGCTTAGTGTCTTTTATCACCGACAGGTGTTATATTCCAAGATACAATAATGTTTCTTGTTGTCTTTTATCACTGACAAGTGTTATGTTAAAAGATATAATTGTGTTAATGATGTCTTTTATCACAGATAGGTGTTACATTCCAATTATTATTGTGTTTTTGGTGTCTTTTATCACAGAAAGGTGTCCTTTCACGATAGTGTTATGGTGTAGGTGAATTTTATCACAGACAAGTATTTATATCAAGATATAATTATGTTCTTGGTGTCTTTTATCACAGACAGGTGTTATATTAACCCTTTGTATAGGCAATGGCAATGGCGACTACTGAACATAAAATTTGCCTCGAAAAACCACACCAGCCAAAAAATGCTGGGATTGGTTCTGCAACATTTTGTAAAGGATACCCAACTAACTTTTATGTATAGGGATTCCCCCTGTGAGTTCTTTATCTTTATTCATCATCTGTAAGCTCAGGTGGAAAGTCCTAGTTGTTCATCCATCCGGACTTTGGCTTTGTGCCAGGGCTTCAGTTGTGCATGTACATATGTTTTACTGGCTTATTTTAGTGCAGCCGGTTGTTCCTTGCCGCTCGGGCAGAAGCACTCCGACTTCGAAGGAAGCCCCTAATTAGTCGACTCCTACGACATTCTTTTTTGTGGAGGCAGTGTGTCGGTTCTTGTTTTCCCCACAGTGAGGTCCCGGAATCCATACGGGGATGTGGATTCAAATGCCACATTTTGGGAGAAACAAGAATAGACCCGCTAACAAGCAAGTTGTAGCAGTGTATCCTTCAAAATCAGAGTGCATCTGTAAGTAAGGCAAGAAACAGTTGAAATACAAATAAGACAGATCTATAAAATCTATGTGCAGGTACTAGTTAACACTAAGAAAAAAAGAAGTATCTGAGTTATTATTAGTTTAACTGGGGTTCATTGCACTGAGTTATCGTCTGTAGCTGAGGCTTGTGAACGCGTTTCATTACTCCAGAGTGCCCAGTTTGATTACATCTTTTAGCAGTTTTGAAGCAGACCACCTGCCTTGCTTTGATTTTAACCAATATCGAAAGCCGACCATTTAGAAAGCAGTGGCAAACTACTGAATATAAAATTGCATAGTGAATGTACAGACTGCCAGAAATTGCTAAGGTTGATTCTGCAACAAGACAATCCTAATCAGCACAAAGAGACTTCTAATTCAAAGCATATTTATTCCAACTCTGTGCTACCAGTGCCAGACATGGTATCTAATTCAAAGCATATTTATTCCAACTCTGTGCTACCAGTGCCAGACATGGTATCTAATTCAAAGCATATTTATTCCAACTCTGTGCTACCAGTGCCAGACATGGTATCTAATTCAAAGCATATTGATTCCAACTCTGTGCTACCAGTGCCAGACATGGTATCTAATTCAAAGCATATTGATTCCAACTCTGTGCTACCAGTGCCAGACATGGTATCTAATTCAAAGCATATTTATTCCAACTCTGTGCTACCAGTACCAGACATGGTATCTAATTCAAAGCATATTTATTCCAACTCTGTGCTACCAGTGCCAGACATGGTATCTAATTCAAAGCATATTTATTCCAACTCTGTGCTACCAGTACCAGACATGGTATCTAATTCAAAGCATATTTATTCCAACTCTGTGCTACCAGTGCCAGACATGGTATCTAATTCAAAGCATATTTATTCCAACTCTGTGCTACCAGTGCCATACATGGTATCCATAATATGCATATCATTACATGAATATAACATGCTTCATTGATGAAATACAACTGCTGTGTGAAAGATGGAAGTTAGGAATAGCCGAATGTGAGACAGGCCTGCGTGCCTAATTTGTAACCCTTTGAAAATAAAGTTTGTTTGTTCGTTCGTTCGTTCTAATTCAAAGCATATTGATTCCAACTCTGTGCTACCAGTGCCAGACATGGTCACTCACAACAAACCATAAAATAAAATTAGTAACCACGGAAATGAGATGTCTGAGAAGGGCTGTAGGAGTGACCATAAGAGATAAGATCAGGAATGAGATCATAAGAGAAAAAGTCGGCACAGAACCAATTCTGGATTACATACGAAGACAGCAAGTGAAATGGTTTGCCCACTTAGAGAGAATGCCTTGTGACACCATACCATACAAAGCATACATGGAAAGAGAAGAAGGACGTAGAGCACGAGGTAGACCAAGAACAAGATGGAAGGATAACATCAGAGAAACTCTACAACAGCACGATGTGCCTATGGTTGAGGCGGCCAGAAGAGCTAGAAACAGAACCTTATATCTCCCTCGACACCCACAGCGGTAAAAGAGGAAGTGAAGAAGAAGAAGATTCTGCAACATCTGTAAAGGATTTGCAACTAGGGATACAATGAAAATGATGGTGGCAGTGGATATAGAGCCAAGTATGCTCTTCATCATGTGTTGGCAGAAATGATTATTTCAGTGATGGATTATGTTGCAGTCCGTATCAAACACTCAGCTGGTGATAAAGTTTGAATGAATACAGAAGGAAGCCATGCTGGTGATTCATATAGGTAGAAGGGATACCCCCCTTGCCTGCAGACAGGCTCAAAGCTGCAAGCGAGATCATGTTGTAGAGTAATCTCAGACTAGACAAAAAAGCACATCCTTTTTGATGCCTGGATTACAATTGAGGGCCACCACAGGCTGATAAGAGGAAAGTTTTGACTTGTGAAAGCAGAATACACAATTCGTGATGTGAGTATGCTTGAAAAAAAAAAAAAAAGAGCAAGGAAAGCAGGTCAGAGCAAAAAAAAATGAAACTTGTATAGAGTTCTGGTTCAAATCACTTTGTGCTGCCAGGAGCACAGGGAGTTGCCAGTAGGCACTGCATAATCAGAAATTCTGCAATTTATTCAGGCAGTCCCCACTTGAGGGATGTAATTATCTATACATATAACTCTGTGTTAAGAAGCAGGAAAGTGCATGGGGTTTCATTACAAAAGTAAATGGACATCGCTTAGTGCAAAAAAGTCTGGCATATCAGAATGGAGGTGGAGCAGCAGCTTTTCCCTGGCTTGAGAACCAACTTTACACACATGATGTGAATGTAACTGACTCACAAAGCATACTGTAGGTGTGTTTTGGAAATGTTTTGGTTATTAATACAGACAGATTAGCCAGTGCTGCTTCAGTTTGCAAGGAATTGATTCATGACAAGCTAGATATAGTCCATGCCTTTTAAGAGCCAAGAGAACAATACAGAAACACAAATAAATCATTATACTGTGGCTAGAATGATGCAGCTGGAAGAGACCAGGAAATCTGGCCGACATTCTACACCTAGAGGAAAGGCTAGATGGACACATAATCAAATGCTGCTGGAACTTAGCGCTGGAACTCTTCACTGGCTGCTGAAGTTAAGGATGGAGTAATTATTTATGGACATGTTCTAAGTGCTGTAGCTGTCATCTTGACACAACTCAACTTACAGCTACTTTAGTCACCTAGTTCTTCTGTTCAACTCTGCCAGACTGTGTATTTATTGCTTTGAACTCTTTCAGTCCCAAGCAGGCTTTAGGTCAGACCGAGCTGTCAGACCTGTGTATTTATTGTTTTTAACTCTTTCAATCCCAAGCAAAGCTTTAGGTCAGACCGAGCTGTCAGACCTGTGTATTTATTGTCTTTAACTCTTTCAGTCCCGAGCAGGCTTTAGGTCAGACCGAGCTGTCAGATCTGTGTATTTATTGTCTTTAACTCTTTCAGTCCCAAGCAGGCTTTAGGTCAAACCGAGCTGTCAGACCTGTGTATTTATTGTCTTTAACTCTTTCAGTCCCAAGCGGGCTTTAGGTCAGACCAAGCTGTCAGACCTGTGTATCTATTGTCTTTAACTCTTTCAGTCCCAAGCGGGCTTTAGGTCAGACCAAGCTAGAAGGGAAGCTCCAGGGGGACAGAGAGCACTTCTTATCTGATCTGGCATCTTCTGCAGCATGCTCTATTTGAATGTATTAGCATTGCCTTTCTTTTGGAGTAAACAAGGCAGGCTGAAAGAGGGATCATCCTGCATGGGTAACAGTACTTTGTACTTTGAAGAGAAGGGAATGGGCTGCGATTCCAGTACCTCCCTATAGCACAGTATAACAGCCTCATATGGAAAGATGCCAACAACAATATATGAGAAACAAGACACATTTTATCATGTCACTATATCTTCAGTATAGTACCCTATCTCAGATAGTCAACATCGACGACGAGATCAACGCTAGAATCTCAGAGGCCAGTAGCCATTTCGGCAGACTTTATACAAGCGTCTGGAATAGAAATGGTGTCTCAAGCTTTAGGTTTACAGAGCTGTAATTCTTCCAGTATTGCTCTACGCTTGCGGCACGTGGACTGGGAATCAACGCCATGCCAACAATTTGAATCAGTTTCATATAACTTGTCTCTCAAAAAGCTGCTTAGAATCAAATGGCAAGATAGGATCCCAAATACTGTGGTTCTTGATAGGGCAGACATGCCTAGCATCCGCACAGAAGAATTAGCTGTGTGGGCTGGTCACCTAGCCCGCATGGCAGACTATTGCTTCCCAAAGAGAGTATTTTGTGGCAAGCTCCAGCAAAGGAAGAGGTCCCAGAGAGGACAGAAACAAGTGTTATAAGGACACTCTCAAAACTGCTTCTAATTCGTTTGGCATCAACACAGCGATGTGGGAGGCTGCTGCACAGGACCCTTCTGGATGGCGCACATCCCTCAGGCATGGTGCATCAGCCTGGAGTTTGAACAGGCAGACAAACGGATTCAGACTAGAAAGAGAGAGCTCCCATGTGAGTTCTGGTGCCCTGTTATAGGGAAAACAAGAATAGACCCACTGCCTACCCAAAAGTATGTTGTAAGAGTTGACTAATTGGGAGCTTCCTTTGAAGTCATAGTGCATCTGCCTGAGAGGCAAGGAACCAACACTCTGCATACAAATTAGTCAGATCTGTCAAACGAATGCACACGCAACACTCGGGGTTCTGGAACAGGACTGCAGTCCAAAAGTGGGCGAACAACCAGAATTTTCCGCTGGAGTTTACCGCCGGTAAACGCGAAGAAGAAGAAGACTTGAAAGAACTGTATCGCTAATCCCACACTTACTGAGGCTTTGGACCTGTTGTCCGCACTGCTCAAGAATTTTCCAGGCTTATACGGGACGAATCAATCACCCTTGTGCTCATAATCATTGATGATTATTACTAATTTGGATTAAAAGTGGTCTTTATCCCTTGTGACAGATTAACAGTATTTTCGTTAGTACCTTTAGCATTTCTTTAACCTAAATGATTTTTTTCCAGGCACTCAGCAGACATCAGAGCACATTCCGCAAACATCATGAGAGTGGAGTTCATGATGACGAGAAATTTCTGGAAGAGACAGCCCAAAGGGAGGAGAATTACCAGTCCTCCATCAGTGACTTGGAGCAAGACCTCAAAACTGCAAATGCCAACTTAATTAGGGTGGCAGGAGAGAATGAACGTTTTGCAACAGAGATTGCAGAATTGAGCCATCAGGTCAGATTCTTGACTTCCTAGTTAAACTTAGTTCTTTAGTTGATTACATAGACTCTTTATTTGTTTTTAATGTTGTTACTTATTTTAATATGATATTATTTTCTTGAGAGATAAAGCACTCATTGAAAATTATGTCAGATGTTTTGTATATTCAACCCTACTATATATTTCACAAAGCTGGACATTAAAGGAGAAAAGTATATTATTCTTCTTGCTCTTTTGTTTGCTTGAAATAGTTTAACATGTTGTGGCCACTGGAAGGATTTGTGGAAAGAGAGATAGAGGAAGACCGCGCAGGAAGATTCTTGACAGACTTTTGACATGGCATGTAGGGGTGTTTACACACTAACTGATTCACGCAGGTGTGGATCACAGATTGTGGAGAGGCATGATCGCCCAAGCCAGTTCATCAAGGCACTTGGTGATGTTGATGATGATAACATACTGAACATGGCATTATATGAAAGAAACATTAAACTAACTTAACAAGAAAGAATGGACAACAATTTTTAGGCCATTTTAGACAGAAATCTGTGAAGATCCAGTGACAATCTCTAGGAATCTCAACAACAACAAAAAAGTGAACCTGTGAACTAAAAGACCCAGTCTGGAAATGAACCTGCAACCTTCAAACCACGATGCAAACAGCTTGATTACTTCACCAGAGGGATTCCCGCATGAAACATGTATAAACCGGAAAATGACATTTTGAATCAGGTATAAAGTGGTACCTCAGTTTATGTTCTCACTCTGTTTGAGATCCTTGGACTTATACCAAACAGTATGTATACCCAACACATTGTTTCATAAGAAATAAAGGGACATGATTAATCCGTTCCCATGGAAAAAAACTCCTAGTCGAGTGCCTGCTAGGATGATGCTGAGAAAAAGGAGATGATATATCAAGTAGGAGAGTCCTCATTCAGTAAAACTTGAGGAATCTGAAATGCGTGTGTTTTTTATCTTTCTTTTTTTTTTCTATCTCTTTTGCCTACTTGAACCTGGTTGAGGCTCACAAGTTTCAGCCTGCGAGTCGTATTTCAAACATAGGTCGTAGACTAAGTTGGACATATTAAAAAAGCGGACATATACCGTGGTACCACTGTAGCTTCACTTGTAATAATGCTTCTACATTTATAGGAACTTTGCCTGCAAAGTGTGCCAGGTCCAAGAAGCAAAAGTAGTTTTCATCAGAATCATCATCCTGGTTTGTCATTTGTGAGGTATAAGTTGGATTATGGACCCTTCCATAGGTGCTGTGATTCTCCCTTCAACATATTCATCAGCGTCGCACGCTTAACAGTGCCAGTCCTCTGCTGGTTGACCAGACTTCTTGTGCTTCTGATGTGCCTCTCGTACATGGCGGTGTCACTCTTGATTCCCAATTCACGTATTCTTAAAAGTGATGTGGACACGTTGATTCCAAAATCCTGGGAACTAAATGTCATGTAGGGCCTGCAATCTGTTCCTCTGTGCCTTTCTAATGAACGAATGAATGAATAAATGAATAAATGAAGAATTGACATCACTGCACTGGGGGCATCCCCTATACCTGCTCCATTTCCTTCCTCAGTTGCCAAGGAGGATTCCATGCCTTTCTGTCCTGGGCAGCTTTTTTTCGGTAAGGATCAGATCTAATCCAGGACCTTTGGATTCTCTTATCCACATTCCTTACAGTTTTTCTTGGAAGCCTTCATTTCCTCAGTTAGTTTGCTTCTTATTTTAAGTGACTGTTGGTAATTCTCTGTCCACTTATTGAGATATTCCCAGTATATCGTCATTTTCTGTGTCTTATAATTATTAAATATCAGCGACTGTTAGCTTCTTTTTTTAAGTGACTCTTTTTTTATTAACTGTCCACTTATGGGGATATTCACAGTATATCGCCATTTTCTGTGCCTTTGAATTGTTAAATATCAGTGGCTGTTTGCTTCTTTTTTTAAGTGACTGTTGGTAATTAACTGTCCACTTATCGAGATATTCCCAGTATATCGTCATTTTCTGTGCCTTCTAATTGTTAAATTTCAGTGGCTGTCTAGATGTGTCCCATTTAATTTTCATCATTTTCAGTTTCCAAATTTATTAATTTTCTGATGCATTTAACTTTTTGTTGTCTTTAGGGGTTCTCCGTTTTCGCTGGCTTGTACAACACAGGTTTACTTTTTTTTTAACAGTAGTTTCTACTTTTTTTTCGGCAGGTGGAAGTACTTGAGACACAGCGACAGCAGCTTCGGCATGAACTTCGGGAGTATAAAGTGAGGGAGAGCAGAAACCTGACAGATTATGCAGAGCTGGAAGAGGAGAATATTTCATTACAGAAGCAGGTTTGTGGTTTTTCTCTGACTGGAGTCACAGCTTTGCATGCTGTTTGATTGTAACAAGAGCAAGTCAGAGAATGGCAGGCATGAAAAAACTTGCAGGTACAACATGGGGAGCTGATTAGAAAGTTCTAAAAAAACACACACTATACACAGGAGGAGTAAAACCAGTACTTGAATATGGTATTGTAGCATGGGCAATAGTAGCTAAGTCGAACTGTATGCCAGAGAAGAATAAAAAGAAACACATAGCTATCTTCACAGATGTGAAGTCAGTTGTTCAGCACTGAAGAGCAAAAACAATACAGAACTAGCAAACCTAGAAGCTGCACTCCATGAACTGAGTTAGAAATAAAAAAGTCACAGTACAGTGGACTCCATCCCATTACAGCATACCTTATGAGGCTGACACATTGGTAAAGCAAGGAAGCCTGATATAGATATAACATATGATGAGGCCAAGTGGTTTTTAAGGAGTACCTATAGTACCAAATGGGATTCTGAACATCCAGGCAACTACCAACTTGACCGAAGAGGACAAGTCGTGATCTTTAGACTCCGCACAATCCAGGCTGAAACACCACTTGTTCAATAAGCTAAAGATAGGAGACACTGATAACTGTAACAGTGGAAGTGGTAAAATGATGGCTAAACATTTGCTGCCAGAGTGCCCAACATATGCAGAACAGAGAAAATTGTTCTGGGGGACACCTGCTCATTTTGAGGACAAACTCTGTGGAGATGTCAGCAACCTCAAATTAACTGTTGATTTCTTTCAGTATATCCACGTTGTCTGAAGGTTTGAGAAGAAGACAACTGTCCGGGATTATCTGGTGTCTGAAGGTTTGATAAGAAGACAACTGTCCGGGATTATCTGGTGTCTGAAGGTTTGATAAGAAGAAAACTGTCCGGGATTATCTGAGCTGATAGTCCCTAGAGATGCAGAGTTTATAAACCATGATGTAGGAAGAAAGTGAAACAGACCTGAATGCCTGTATACTGCCACACCTGTTGCCCCTAAGCATCTTATGTAGGAAACTATAGTGGATGCCGAAGTCCACCCCAGTAAAAGTCTAACATACAAAAAAAAGCAAAGTACTCATTGTGTGTAAGTAAAGTAAAGTAAAGATCCCTTTACACGCCCTTAGGCACATTGGGCATATGGGAAGAGCACCCATATTTTTACAGACCAATCAGCACTCAGTGGGTAATGTGGTCATCATTACGCCGGTCGTCTTTACTTTCCCAGGACAGCCCATCCTGGTACCCATTTGAGGCTGGGTCGACCTGCGACGTCCCATACCACGATAAAAATCCACACAGCCCGCGGTGGGTTTCGATCGCGGTACGTTGGATTATGAGTCAGACTCGCAACGCCTTAGCCACGGACGCCGCACTCATTGTGTGTAGGTAATCGAAATTCCAGGTCTGCAGGCTGCCTACTACTGGCTTCTGAAGATATATACCCCTTGATGAATGAGATGTTCAGTTTATGGAAATGGGGTTAAACAGTCATGGGCAGGATGTGACGATTCCTTGGGCGAGCCCAGTATCAGAGCACCATGTATTGGCTCTGCATTTATGGAAGCCTCCTTGGATTGGGGGGGGGGGGGGATGCTCATGTTCTACCTCTGCTTTCCATTGAGGGCTAACCAGCATTACACATCTTCTCTGGACCGGCCTTATGTGGGGCACCACCTGTGACCTAGGAAACAAAGATAACCACACAGCAATAAGGCTGCAATGTTCCAGGAAGGCTAACCTGGTTAAGAAATGCCTGCACAAGTCGGATGTTTTGGCAGATAGGTGCAAATGTTGCAGCCATGCTGTCAGCTGGCAGAGCACAATTACATCTTTGGATGAACACAGAAGAAAAAGAGCCATTTGGCCTTCTGATATGAAAACTAATGGCAGGGAGAGCAGAAAGAAGAAAATGAAAAAGTCTTTATTTGTAATATATTTAAAAACGATCTCTATACTTCTGTTTTCAGGTTTCCCAACTCAGGCAGAACCAGGTGGAGTTTGAATCCACAAAGCATGAAACACTGCGGCTGCAAGGAGACCTTGAAGACCTCAACATGCAGCTCGATGAACTTGCTGTTCTCAAATCCATTGTCGAGAGGAAGTTGGAGGAAACCCTCAACTCACTGGCCCAGGAGAGGGAGCAGAAACACAATCTGAAGAAAGAGCTAGATCAAAGGATTACTCAAGAATCCATGTTCAACCTGAGCAACTTGGCCCACTTTGGTGGTCTCAGTGAAGGTCTGTCTTTTGGAAATCATCATGATCTGGGTAAGACTTCTGGAATTTATATATATATATATGTTGTTGTTGTTGTTGATCCAGCGGCGCATGCGCTTTCGCCCTTTGGCCCAATGCCATGTAGTGGAATTTACATGTTTTCACAAGCTGTTCTTTTCCTCCGTACAAGGTGTTCCACTTGTCTGGTCTCGGAGGGAGTAGCATTCTTCTAGTCTCGTTGAGTTTTGGGCACTCAAAGGGATGATGGTCAACAGTTTCATAGGGATAGTTACATAGCTGGCACTCTGGGGAGTGTTGTGGCTGTATTCTGTTTAGGTGTCCATTGAGTGGAGTATGTTGTGTTATGAGTTTGAAGATGGTGGCCTGGTCTCTTCTTGTTAGATGGTTAATGCTGTCCTTAGGATCAGGGCTAGCCATGTATCTATAAACCTCTCTTCCAGTATCTCCCATGACCTATCTGTTCAGCCAAGTCTCTTTGTTTATAGCTTTTATTAGTGTTTTTGCTGTCTGTAGGGTTGTCGCTGTAGGTGGTTTAGTAGGGTTGACTGCATTTGAGCTGATATCAAGTAGTAAAAAAAAAATAACAATACAAAGAGCTGCCTAGTCATAGTTATGTTGTGTTGATTCACTTGCATGAAACCTGCACTGTCTCGACAGTGTACATTAGAGTTATGAAAACACTCTGCTATCAGGTGATATGCTGTCTTGACAATGTATAGAGTTATGAAAACACTCTGCTATCAGGTGATATGCTGTCTTGACAGTGTATAGAGTTATGAAAACACTCTGCTATCAGGTGATATGCTGTCTTGACAATGTATAGAGTTATGAAAACACTCTGCTATCAGGTGATATGCTGTCTTGACAATGTATAGAGTTATGAAAACACTCTGCTATCAGGTGATACGCTGTCTTGACAATGTATAGAGTTATGAAAACACTCTATCAGGTGATATGCTGTCTTGACAATGTATAGAGTTATGAAAACACTCTATCAGGTGATATGCTGTCTTGACAATGTATAGAGTTATGAAAACACTCTGCTATCAGGTGATATGCTGTCTTGACAACACTCTTTTGTTAGGTGTTAGTGACAATAATATGCTGTCTTGACATTGTGTATTAGACTTATGAAAACACTTCAATCAGATGATATACTGTTTTGACAGTTGTGTATTAGAAACACTCTTCTGTCACATGATATGCTGTCTTTACCCAGTGTTTTAGACCTATGAAAGCACTCGTCTATCAGATGATATGCTGTCTTGACAATGTGTATTAGACTTATGAAACTCTTCTGTCGATGATGTTCTGTTTTGACCGTGTGTAGAGTTATGAAAACACATTTGATATCAGATGATATGCTATCTTGACCATGTGTATTAGACTTACTGTTACATTAAACAATGCCTTGTCTTGACTGCGTGTGTAAAACTTATGAAAACACTTTTCCATTGAATTCTGTACTTTTGATACTTTTTACAAAAAACAAACAAACAAAAAACACATACTTGGTGACATCTTCTTCTGCCTTTTGACTCCCAGTGGCACATAGCCCTCAACCAACTCACGCCAGGTCATTCTATCCTTACTATCGCATGCAGTTCTCCCCATGTTCTTCCCATCTTTTCAGTTTCCCTCTCTAGCTCCTTTCTCCATGTGTTTTTTGGTCTTCCTTTATTTCTATGCCTCTGTGGGTTCCAGTGCAAGGGCACTCTAGTTATATTGTACTCAGGTTTCCTTAAGTTTGTCCTATCCAACACCAGCATCTTTTCTTCACCTCTTGGTCCACAGAAACTTGTTAAGTTCTCTCCCAAAGTTCTACATTAGTGATTCTTTCATACCATTGAATTCTCTCTATTCTGCGCAGGCACCAGTTAATGAATGTTTGAAGTTTGGTAACATAATGAGTTAAATTTCTTGCAGATGAGGATGTTGATGGTAGTGCTCATCCTGCCCTCAAGAGAATCGAAGCAGACTTCTCCTTCCCTGGAAGTAAAGTTCCAAGTCTAGACCAGTCCACTCCACGACCAGGCATGGTTAATGACCTTCTAAGTGAATTACAGGTAATCGTGTGCCAATTTTCATAACTAGGTCACTAAAGGACCCTTTTCATACCATTGGTGCATCAGACACATGGCACTGACCTTTATTTTGTATAGACCAGTTGGCGGATTATGTAATCAAAATCATGGCCGTCACCCTGACTTTCTCAGCACATTTACTGGCACCTATTTTTTGACTTTGCCACCGATGTGGGAAAAAATTGAGACTCAATGCAGATTTGAACCCAAGATCTTTGGGACAGGAAGCAAACATTTAACCACTTCTACCACAGCTGTTGATGATTGAGTGCAAGTGGATTTGTATATAAACCTTTCCTTCTTTCCAAATGATAGTGTTATGTTGTCCTGTATAGGAATAACAACCCATGGAAATGGTAAGTGTGGCTAGCAAGACCCGCCCATGTTAAGAAAAGCGTTTCACAATTTCAGTATTGTTGTCATTCATGTTTTTAGTATGCATCTTTTATATATGCTAAGAACAATATTGGTGACAATACTCCCCCTTGGGGTACACTTTGCTCTAACACAATTTTGGGGGGCTAGTTTGTCCTTAGCTCAGCTCTCAACCACTGTGCAATCATTTTTTTTCTTCTTTATTCCTACTTCCTTCTAGATTTCACCCCTCCACAACAGTCTGGCATTTTGTTCCTACAAAACTACCTCAATATGTGTATTATTCATGTCCCATTGTGAGTGGATTGAAAAGTGGCAAATGTATAGAACTTTAGGTTTGCCATTTTGCTTTGGTGTGATTTACTTTAGGCACATGAGTGAGAAAAGGGGGTGGGGGATGAAGTACACCATGATAGCAGGACATTTGAAGGGCAGGTGGGTGCTTTGAGAATGGATATTGGTCAGTTCTTCTTCTTCTTGGTATTCACCGACTGTAAACTCTGGCGGTCAGTTCTGGTTGTTCATCCATTTCTGGAATGTGGTCTTGTTCCAAAACTGGAGTTTTGTGTGCACATCCGTTTTATAAATCTGGCTTATTTGTACACCGACTTGGTTCCTTGCCTCTCAGGCAGATGCGCTCTGACTTTGAAGGAATCACCCTAGAACCTACACAGGGAGTTGAATAGTTCGGCATCATGGATTAGAAGAACATCTGTATCAGAAATGTTTGGCAGTGCATGAGGCAGAAGACTGAGGTCTGAGGTTTGAACAATGGATCAACATCATGGCACATGGGTAGTCTCACCCATAAGTGCTCCGTTCTACTTCTAACTCAAGTCTGAGCTCATAGCACCGTTGAGGATCCTAAAATTTGTGGGTAGATTTTTAACTTCCAAATTTTGCCCGGGCAGTGCTGTTAGGCTACTTTTTTTTATTTCCAACTGACAAGGGATTTTTTTTTTACGTGCGCAACAATACACACGGGCGTCCGATCTAACTACCCAGAGGCCAGGGGAAATTACTAGAAGTCCATGTGAAAAAATCCCAGCCTTCACCGGAGCATGAACCCGGGACCTCTAGCACTCGAGGCATACAACATACCCTGAGACCACGCAACCCCCCAGGCAGACTGTTGACACACATGATGTCCACTGCTATGCAGCATGGACTATAAAAAAATATTTTTGACAAGGTTTTAGTACTTTATGTAGAGCAACATTAGATGGATGCAGTCAACCACTTATGCATGACATAACTGTTTTTTTTATTATTAGAGTTTGAATAATTAGAGCTGGCCAAGGTCCTACTTCACCTCCAAGTGGTTGATCTTTACACACGGCATCTGTGCAGTTTTGGCAAGACTACTCCTCTTACAGCACTAAAGTACCTTCTCCACAGTGTGTGTATTGCATAGCTGCTCTTCCCCTCTCCAAGCTTAGAAACTAGCAAGGTATACAAGACAGGTACAGGTACTTTATGTGTGCCGAGAGGCATTTTAGGATGCAGTTTTGTTGTGATTCAGCGCAACACATAGTTGGTAAAGTTTCCTGTACAAGTTTTATTAACTTTATTTCAACAGACTCCATTCCAGTGCCCCCGGTGTGATGCTGACCACATCACCCATCTTGTGCTGATTGGTCTATAAAAATATAAGTCTAACCCTATATGCCTAAAGGCGTGGGAAAAGGGACTTTTACTTTTTTTTTTTTACATTCCAGGGCCCAAAGATGTTTTTGTCTTAATAAACCAGGCAGAATCTGAATTAGCCCTGAAGAGTTTGGCAAACTGGATCGAGTTTAAATAACTTTTTTTCTTTTGTTCGTATTTTTAGGTTACTGAAGTTGTCAAATTGGAGACACAATTAGAACAGTCTAAGTTAGAAAAGCTGGAGCTGCAGAAAGCTCTAGATGATGCTAGGAAACTGATTGAAGACACACAGAGAGACCTCGTAGAGCAGAAGCAGAGGGCCGACCATCTTAAGGACACCATATCTCACATAACGTCACTACATGAGAGGCCACAGTTGATGCCCAGCGATCTGCAGGTTGGTTAGGACAGTCAGTGATCTGGTTAACTGTGGTAACTCTGTGAGATTGGAATAAATACTGGAGTATAAAGTCAATTAAGAGTGAATGAACGAACAAACTTTATTTTTAAAGGGTTTGGAAATTGGGCACGCAGGCCTGTCTAACATTCTGCCCTTCGAGGCCTCCCTCCGTTCTTACATCATTTCATTCATACATCACGTAAAGGATGGAGTAAATTAAGAACGGACTATATGGGGAATGGAGTACATAAAAAATAGAAAATTTAGTAAAAACTCAATTCTTTAAAGCTATATAAGTTCTATACCAATATACGGAAGTTCATCATGGACACTTGGTGGACTAGTAAAAAATTATTTAAAAGCTGCAGAGATGTGGTTTTACAGAGGAGCCCGGGACAGATTAAGAGTAATGAAGATGTCTTGAAAGAAACTAACTCATGAAGTCAACTGATTGCCCATATCAGAAAAAGACCGTCTGCCTTCTTTGGTCGTGTCATGAGAAGGAGAAAACTTGAGTACATCAGGACAGTAGGAAAGTTCGAAGGAAAGAGAGGCAGAGGGATACAGAGAGAGAAGATGCTGAACAGCTTCGTCATCATGGCATGGGGTAGCATCTGTGTCAGAGTTGATTGAAAGTACATGAGACAAAAAGTTGTGTGGATGGACATGACTACTACCGTCACACAGCATGGACTTTAAGAAGAAGAAGAAGGTGATAGCAGCTTTTTTGTTGAAGAGTAAAGCATAGTATGAGTGAATAAATGCACATGGTGTTTTTTTTTCAGGCAAAAAAATGATGCAGAAAGTATTTGTTGTGGGCCATATTATAAGAAGAATAGTAAATAAATGATCAGAAGTAGATGGCCATTGATGCAGTAGGCATAGACACCCCACCCTTCCCCCAACAGATTGAAACTTTATGTGTGGTGTAGTCAGCATTTACTTGCCAAGACATTTCCTGGTTATCAGTTTGGGCTGGGTTAATCTGGCAGCCATTGTTTGTTATTTGAAGAAGACAACAAAGTCTGGATTTGAACTCAATATCTTTGAATTAGTAGGCAGATGTTTAGCAGATGTGCTACCACAGCTTCCTTCAAAAAGAAATGTTTGAACATATTGTAACAACTGGTGAGATTAATTGAAAAAGCGATAGAGAAATGCAAAGAGAGATTTATGATATTTTTGCATCATGGTATGGGAAGATATTTCAACACATTAGTGAGTACATTCCGTTAGAGAGTTCCAATTCTGATGGAACCAGCACCTGTCTGAGTGTACGTCCGTCTCGTGCTTCCCTTGAGTGTTGAGCATCAGCCAGATCCCCTGGTAACACCTCACAGTGCCATTCTCCTCAGGCAGTAATGATCTGTCTGTGCCTCTGCACTGTTCACTCCCTCCCAAGGGTCCTCACAACATCCAGCTTGTCATACATCAGTTTACCACCAAGTTGTGCAGAACTGGCCAGTCTATCTGCCTGCTCATTTCCCAACGCACCGGCATCACCTGGAGAAAATATCCAAAGGATGCTAACTACCAGGGACCTCTGAAGGGATATCGAGAATCCTGATTACCTAGCCGCCGACGCTCGAGACTCAGGGGAGGGGCGAGACGGATATACAATCAGACTGTTACTGGTACCATCGGAATTTTAACTTTTCACTTGCTGCTCAAGATGGGGACAGAGCGCTTATGGGAGTGTCCCGAGTGCTGTGATGTCGATTCTTAATTCAACATTCAACATTTTTGATTACCTAGCCAGTTGGCAAGGCACTTGACAGTTATGAGTTCAGAAACATGCTGTGTAATTTCTGTGTGACGGTACCCTCATTCCTGCCTGTATTTACCGCCTTTACTTTATAAAATTAGGCTATTCAATGGTGGGCCCAAAAAGGTCTGAGAAGCCTGGCAAGTGGCCTACGGATCGCCTGCCAGTTAGGTAGTTAGTTAGTTAGTCTTTCCTCTTGAGCGCCTAGGACAGCGGTTGTAGCTCTCCATGTCTGGCAGTTCATTGCCACCTGTTTTATTTTGTTGTATTAATGATCTTTCTGTGCTGGGGCTCGAGCCTCTGACCCATCACAGTCTCTATTGTTCCAACATCTTGGCCCCTGTGTAAACTTTGTGAAGTGGCCCTGGTGTAAAATACAGAGGGTGGGGCTTTGAGAGTAACTAACTAGACACAAATAATAGTCAACTGTTCATGTTCTGTTGGAGGCACTGTGGTGTTGTGGTTAGATGCTCGTCTGCGGGTCGGAAGGTCATGGGTTTGAGTCCTGACGGAGCCAGCTTTTTTTTTTCTTTCTCAAAAAGCACCGTGGCTGCCAGGTCAGGCCCAGCCTTGAGCGGGTGCCAGATACAGTCCTGGGAAGTAAAGGCGGCTGGTGTGATGCTGACCACGTTACCCACCAAGTGCCGAGTGTTCTGTAAAATATAGGTCTAGCCCTATATGCCAGTATGCCTGAAGGTGTGCAGAATTGTTCTTTACTTTTTTCGTCACTTTATGTTCCTTCCTATGCCTGAAATTGTGGGCTTCCTGCAGGTTTCCTATGACGAAGGACTCCTGGCCGAAATTTCCAGTGAAAGTGACCCTGACCAGAAAGCTTTGCTGGAACTCAAACATGACTTTCAGTACAACCAGAAGAGGTACACAACAGCTGTCCGAGAAATACACAACCTTAGAGGCGAGATTAACCGACTGCATAGTCAGAACACAGTTGTGGGAGATTCGGATATTTGTCGCGTAAGTATCAATCTTTTCTTTGCTGCAGAAGTTTAAGTTAGGCTCATTGCTTGGTTCAGTTTTGCATGTTTAACCTATTGATTTCGGCCATTTTTCCATGTCGGATTCTTGTACCCAATTTTTGGGTCATAAAGGAATAGACCCACTTCCAGCAAGCATGCGGTTGAGGGCGACTAATAAAGTTTGCTGAAATCAGGTGTGTTGGGCTGAAAGATGCAGATATCACAGCCTGTCTGTAAACCACAACACAACAGCCACCATATTAAGGGTGACCACAGAAGAAGAAGATTGACCCTCTTTATTTGTTTCATCATAGTAGATTATTTTGTGACTTTACTTACCTGATAAATTCCAGTAAAACAAGGGTCTGATCTGAAACCTGAATAGGATATTTATCTCTAGATCTGCTTTAGTCTGCTTTCTTACAGTTACAGCTAGCTATCTTCTTCCTGTTTTCTTGTGACTTGACCTTTCCTGTCATGGTGATGACTGGTTAGTGATCACTTCCCCCCAGCTGTTTCCTTACTTCGCTGTATGCCCGTAGTTGGGTGTTTTCTTTAGCTATAGCTAAGCATGGTGTACTTTGTATTCGCCATTGTCTAGGGTAGAAGGTTGATTCAGAGTCAGGCTTGTTGATTATTTTAGCAGATTACCATCCATTCCTCTACCTCCTATTGTGTCCATGGATGTATAGACCCAACTAGGGGCGTGGCTGTTGAAGTCATTGAGAATTGGCTGGCTCTTGTCAGCTACTGGGATATTGACTAATTCCAGTGTCTTATTTGAACAGTTGTAATTAGTAACATACAAGGGATATTTATCTACTCTTGCAGGGGGCTGCGTTAGCCACTACAGCCCACGGTCGGTGTTCAAAACTGGGCGGTTCCCAGGGTTCACCCAGCCTCTAGGAAATGGGTACCAGAGTTAACACTCTAGGGTAAATGGAGGAACGTCACTGTAGCTACAGAGTTACGTGCGGACAGTGACACAAGCGGACAATTCTTATCCGCTGTCCGTACTGGTGGCAGAGCACTTATGGTTTATAACTGTGTGCAATGATGCTGGTTTACATCTCCCGACTTTACCTTTTTTAAAAATCTGGTTGCAACAGTAATTGGTGACATTATGTATCTCCTTGCAGGCTTTAGAAGACCTGAAGAACAAGTGTGACCAGCATGAGCAGACTATCAAAGAACAAGAAACAAACATGCAGTCGGCTGCAAACACAGCTACCACAGCCCAGAGAAGCCTGGACTCGCTGCAGACGTCGATGAGTCACATCACTGAAGACCTGGCCCAGCTGTACCATTTAGTTTGTCAGGTGACCGGGGATACCCCCTCTCGTGTCATGCTAGACCACGCCAACGGTGGAGTCTTGAGAAGGGCTCACGAGAAGAGTGTGGAAAATGTAAGATCTTTCTTTATAGTTCTTTAGTAAAAGTTACCTATAGCTCTTTAGTAAAAGTTACCTGTGTACATCGTTTCCTGCTGGATTTAGTAACCTGCCCCATTTCTTTGTTGGGGAATGAAGGCATGTAAAGCTGCCGGGAGAGTAGCAGAATAAATCAGAGATAAACTAGGAAGGACTGAACTGATTCCCCAAACTGATGTGCCTGAATTCCCTGCCCTCGCTGCCATTCTGTATCAAGATTGACCTTATCAGTAACTTACAGTTAGTTGCACATCCTTTCTAGGACACTTCAGACCCATCCATCATTTGTTGGCTGTGGTGGTCTTATTAGGCAATTTTAAGTTCAGTAGTGCAAATGTTAAAAAAGGAGTTTTCATAGCACTAGGAAATCTGTGAAAGTTGCAGGAAAATAAAATTAGTACTAACTTAAAATAGCTGGACTTTTTTTTTTTTAGCAATGACCTTAGCTTTCTGGTCGACCCCACCCTTATATAGGTACCAGGTAAAGCCCTGGGAGGTAAAGGCGACCCCCGTGATGTTATCATATTACTCACAGAGTACCGATTGGTCTGTAAAGGTCCTTCACTTTACTAACTTAAAATATTTAGCTCTAATGTCAAATCTGTGTGGCTGAATGGAGCTGAAACGTGGAGAAAGCTGAAGGAATTACTAATTAACTACCATCATTATTAACAGGCACCTGAATCAGGAGCAAAGAAAAGACACTGGTGTTGGATAGTACACCAATTGAGAAAATCTGAGAACACTATAACTAGAATGTTTACACTGGCACACACAGGGTCATTGAAATAAAGGCATACCAAAAAACTTTCGGAAGTTAAGAAAATGGACATGTGAAAAGCTGCTCTTGATAGCGAAGATTAAGTTGAGTTGGTAGAGGGCCTGTATTCCTTTAGGGGACAGGCAGAAGAAGAGAGAAGCAGACTTTTGGTTACCTTCATACCCATACATTCCACTCTTCGAAACTGATGAAAGGATTAGTCATCATCATCATCAGTATTTTTCCTTGACTTGATCCTTGAGACCTTAAAACTATTCCTGTAAAGTTTCTGTTAAAAAACCCTTATTTTTATTTTTACTATTTTGTGTACTGCACATTTTTTCCCATTCGTCATCATAGGCCAAACTTGTAAGTTTAGACAATCCTAGTGATCAGTTAAAGCAATTGATTTATAAAGATATGGATCTGGCACCATATGACTGATGTGCCAGTGGTGTGAGAGTGGTACTTTAGTTTTTAATTTGTCTATAAAGAAGGTAGTCTGCCATTGCTTTCTATCTTGACAGTGACCACAAACACTGTCACTGTAGTGTGATCATCTGGGCATCAGTGGTAATTTGAAACCCTGACAGTAACTGTCTGTCATCTGTTCCTAAGGGGTTATAGGTCATCCTGCTTGGGGAGCTAAACAGACGCTCTGCCTTGCCCAATGATGCCCCATAAATCAGCAGACAGATGGAATCCCAGTACTTCACTTTAGATAAAAAATTCTCATTCAGAGAAAGAAAATAATGGAATTTTATCTGTTAATGCTTGCCTGTGGACCCAGAAGGGATGATTTCAAATCTGCGTCAGATTTTTAAATATTAAAAATAAAAAATAACTTTGGCTCCCAGGTCAACCCAGCCTAAAATAGGTGCTATTTGAAGTCCTGCATAGTAAATTTGGCTGGCTTTATTTTGACCTTATCACCCATCAACCACCTGTTGGTCTCTAAAAATATGGCTACAATAAAACAAACTGCCAGTAACTGCCTTTCTCATACCACTTTTGTGGTGTAGGCAGGGGGGGGGGGGGGAGGGGTCTTTGATGGGTTACAGTGTTACTGTTTTTTGCCTTTCTTATGAATTAATACAGATTTGATGCTTCGGAGTGAATGTCAACATGAATTTGATTGCTGTGAGAGGAAGAAAATGAAACTTGTTGAAGACATTGTTTGCTGTGAGAGGAAGAAAGTAAAACTTGATAAAGACATTGTTTGCTGTGAGAGAAAGAAAATGAAACTTGTTGAAGACATTGTTTGCTGTGAGAGGAAGAAAATGAAACTTGATGAAGACATTGTTTGCTGTGAGAGAAAGAAAATGAAACTTGATGAAGACATTGTTTGCTGTTGCTGTGAGAGAAAGAAAGAAAATGAAACTTGATGAAGACATTGTTTGCTGTGAGGAGAAAAGAAAAATGAAACTGTGAGAAAAAGAAAATGAAACTTGATGAAGACATTGTTTGCTGTGAGAGAAAGAAAGTAAAATTGAAAGAGCTGTGAGAGGAACACTGTAAAACTTGATAAAGACCTTGTTTGCAGAGGAAGTCATGAAACTTGATAGACAGTGAGAGAACGAAAATGAAACTTGATCCCCGAGTTTGCTGTCAAGGTCTTCCTAGCTTGTTTGCTGTGAAAGCAAGTCAGCTGTGAGAGAAAGAAAATCTTCCTGTGGCATTTTAGCAGAGACCATAAAACAGACATTGTTTGCCAGAGAAAGTAGATCCGGTTGTTTCTGTGAGAGAAAGAAAATGAAACTTGATCTTTTCTAGAAAGTTTGAAGACCTTGTATGTGAGAGAAAGAAAATGAAACTTGATGAAGATCATGCTATGAGAGAAAGAGAAAATGAAACTTTGATCATTGTGTGCTGTGAGAGAAAGAAAGTAAAACTTTGATCATGTTTGCTGTGAGAGAAAGAAAGTAAAATTTGATCATGTGAGAGAAAGAATGTGATTTGATCATGTTATCTGTGAGTTTGATCATTGTATGTGAGTTTGATCATGAAGACATTGTTTGTGTTGATCATGTATGTGATTGTTTGCTTGAGAGAAAGAAAATGAAACTTGATGAATACATTGATTTGAATTCTTGTATGTGAATTTGACAGTCATGTATCCCCGAGTAGGTGAGGTCTTGATCATGACCCATCTTATCTGATTTTAGCAGAGATCATGTAGTAGATCCGGTTGTTTCATTCTTTTCTATGTGATTTGATCATGTATGTGATTTGATCATGTATGTGATTTGATCATGTATGTGATTTGATCATGTATGTGATTTGATCATGTATGTGATTTGATCATGTATGTGATTTGATCATGAATATCAGTGATTCCCAAACTGTGCTCTGCGAAATATTGTAAAAGCTTCATAACTAAATTAACGAAGAAAATTTTTATTTTAAAAAAAGGGCGCCGCGACCAAGAAAAGTTTGGGAAACACTGCTGTATGTGATTACATGTTATCAGGACCACATTTAGGTATGTGCACAGGACAGTTCACATTTTAGGTGTGGCAAAGTGTTTTCTGCCAAATATTTTATTTGTTTTCTTCAAAATAATTTAAAAATTTGTTAACTGCGCATTTGTTGTATCTGTTATGTATTCATTTAAGTTTAAATATTTCAGCACAGCTTAAAATTGAAGTAACTATGAGGCAACTTCAAATGAAAACCTTAAAAGTTTGATTAAAAAAATTGCAATAACCATGCCGTTGTCTTGTAATCTGTCAATATTATTGTTAAGGATGGCAAGAGTTTTAAGCACTTGACATCACAGTGGAGACAAACACAGTTACAACATAATGAAAGTTTAAGGGTGGCCGCCCCACTTTTGACATGCACCAGGGAGAAGCAGCAGCATTTTGATACTTCCTACTCCAGTCATATATGGATGTAAGTTGTGGACTGTCTCCCAGTCCTTAAGAAAGCAGATAGGGACTTTTGAGCTAAAATACTATAGTCAGATTCTCAGAATATTAGGGACAAAGAAGAGGAGAAATACTGACATCTTGAAAGATCTGAACATCAAGGAAGATTGGCTGATAAACAGCATCATGTCTCAGAAGCTAAAATATTTTGGTCATATCAAGCACCATGGCAGATGGGAAAGAATTAAAGCAGTAGGCATGGTACCAGGAAACTGTCCCAAATACAACATATCAAGGCAAAACTTTTGGCCAAGAGAAACATCGGAGCATGTCACACTTTACGGGTCGCTGAGGGAATTACAAAAGACAGTGAAGTTCATACTAGAGACATCATTGCAGATATAGATAATCTATTTCAAGTGAACGAAAGAAGAAGAAGGTACCAGGAAGGAGGGGCAGGGGGCGACCAACATGAAGATGGGCACAGGATGTAAGTGACTTCTTGAATATGAAAGTACATGAAGCGGGAGAGCTGGTGAGAGACTGAGTTTCTTTCAGGCAGACTGTGGGGAGAGCGGCGTTCTGCAAAGGACCTGCCACATGATGATGACTCCACTCATACACTTTCTGGACTGACAGGCATGCATCACCATACTGTATATTCATTGGCCATTACAATTCTGTAGGTTTCACCCCTTTGCTGATTTAAAAATAAATAAAAAAAGGATCAAATTGTTTAGTTCAGTTCGCTGATTCTCTGTGTTCTAATTATTGTTTTGTGTGTGTCTGTTTCTGCTTCCCTGTGGGTTTCAGTAAAAGAATTTTCTCATATGCAGTTTTAATCTTCCAGTTGTCATTTCCAGCGACTTCCCAAGGTGAAAGAAGCTAAGTCGACTTTGTAGATTCCTTGAGCCTTATCAGCAAAAGGCATACTTTTTTTTAAAGGAGATAGGTCTTTTAAACCTGAAGTTTTATACAGGATAGGGTAGCCAGTCCCATGCTAACCTCCTTTATTTGCCTCTTGTAGCATGCATGGTAAGTTACAGGGCTGCTGCTATTCTTTGCTTCCCCTAAGGGCCCCAAAAAACACAGATGCTCATAAGTGACAGGTTAACCACTCCACTTCTTTATCTTATAACCTCGTATATGTTAAGTTCCGTCTCTTCACACCTCTGCTGTAGTGTCTACCATGTCATTACATGATTCTTCTTCTAATAGTACATGCTGTATGCTGCTTGTAGTCATTATATCCACAACTTTCTATCCCATGTACTGTCAGTCAGTTGTAACACATGATCTTCCATGCCATGATGTCAGATTATTCAGCATCTTCTCCCTCTCGCTTTTTTCCTCTCCAACTGTCATAATGAACTCCAGTTTGCTCCCTCTCATGACTGAAAAAAAACCATGTGCATTTATTCACTCATACTATGCTTTACTCTTCAACAGAAAAGCTGCTATCACCTTCTTCTTCTCAAAGTCCATGCTGTGTGACGGTAGTAGTCATGTCCATCCACACAACTTTTTGTCTCATGAACTTTCAATCAACTCTGACACAGATGCTACTCCATGCCAACAAGCTGTTGTTGGGCATCTTCTCTCTCTGTATCCCTCTGCCTCTCTTTCCCTCCAACTTTCCAACTGTCATAATGTACTCCAGTTGTCTCCCTCCCATGACATGGCCAAAGAATGTAGATTGTCTCCTTCTGATATGGCAGTCAGTTTACGGGTGGGTTTTCTTTCAAGACATCTTCATTACTTTTTTAAAAAATCTGTCCAGCGTATTCTCATCATTCGTCTATTAAACCACATCTCTGCTACTTTCAAATAATTTTTCACTGATTGTCCAGCTGTTCATGATTCATTCATGATTTATTTAGTAAGTAGGTAAGTAAAGGACCCTTTTCCACGCCTTTAGGCATAAAGGGCATATAGGGCTAGACCTCTATTTTTTTTTATAGACCAATCGGCACAGAGTGGGTGATGTGGTCAGCATCAAGCCGGCCACCTCTACTTCCCGGGACTGCACCCGGTAGCCACTCAAGGCTGGGTGGACCTGGGAGCCAAAGTCATTTTTTTTAAAAAGTCCGGCTCCGCCGGGGAGCGAAACCACGACTTTCTGATCCACAGCGAGCGTCTTACCGCTCTGTCACTGTGACTCGAAGGATTTATATAGGTATTGAGAATTCCCATTCTGGGCTGAATTAATAAAAAAGGATTGAAAAAAAATACTCATTACATTATTAATTTTTATGTTGTAATTGTTGGTTGAAATTCACAGGTGAAGTTTCTGCGTGGTGCATTTGATCGTCTGATGGAGATGTCCAAGCAGTGGAAGAAGCAGGGTGGTGACGGAGCAGATGCCGGGGATGACTATCAGCAGGAGCTGCAGGAACAGGTGATCTATTGTTGTATACTTTGTTCAGCCTTGTTTCCCTGTGTGGGTTTTAGGTCATCTGTTGTTGTTACAAGCTTTGTTCAGCCTTGTTTCCCCTGTTTGGGTTTTAGGTCATCTATTGTTGTTACAAGCTTTGTTCAGCCTTGTTCCCCTGTGTGGGTTTTAGGTCATCTATTGTTGTTACAAGCTTTGTTCAGCCTTGTTCCCCTGTGTGGGTTTTAGGTCATCTATTGTTGTTCCAAGCTTTGTTCAACCTTGTTTCCCTGTGTTGATTTAAGGTCATCTATTGTTGTTACAAGCTTTGTTCAGCCTTGTTTCCCTGTGTGGGTTTTAGGTCATTTGTTGTTGTTACAAGCTTTGTTCAACCTTGTTTCCCTGTGTGGGTTTTAGGCCATCTATTGTTGTTACAAGCTTTGTCCAACCTTGTCTCCCTGTGTGGGGTTTAGGTCATCTGTTGTTGTTACAAGCTTTGTTCAGCCTTGTTCCCCTGTGTGGGTTTTAGGTCATCTATTGTTGTTGTTACAAGCTTTGTTCAGCCTTGACCCCCTGTGTAGGTTTTAGGTCATCTATTGTTGTTACATGCTTTGTTCAGCCTTGTTCCCCGTGTGGGTTTTAGGTCATCTGTTGTTGTTACAAGCTTTGTTCAGCCTTGTTCCCCTGTGTGGGTTTTAGGTCATACTTTTTTGTTTCCCTGTGTTGATTTTAGGTATCATTGTTTGTTGTTATACTTTGTTCAACCTTGTTTGCCTGTGTTGGTTTTAGGTCATCTGTTGTTGTTACAAGCTTTGTTCAACCTTGTTTTCCTGTGTGGGTTTTAGGTCATCTGTTGTTGTTACAAGCATTGTTCAACCTTGTTTCCCTGTGTTGGTAGGTCATATTGTTGTTGTTTTCAAGCTTTGTTGTTCCTGTGTGGGTTTTAGGTCATCTATTGTTGTTGTATACTTTCTTTAACCTTGTTTTCCTGTGTTGATTTTAGGTCATCTATTGTTGTTGTATACTTTGTTCAACCTTGTTTCCCTGTGTGGGTTTTAGGTCATCTATTGTTGTTACAAGCTTTGTTCAGCCTTGTTTCTCTGTGTTGGTTTTAGGTCATCTATTGTTGTTGTTACAAGCTTTGTTCAACTTGTTGAAAAAAAAATTATACTAGACTGTTGTTCATGGGTTTTACATTTGCACTTCCAAGTGTGGGTTCTAGACCCCCATTGTGGGGGGGAGGGGGGGGGAAATCCATTACCGCTAACAAGCATGTCCTAAAAGTCAACTTATTATGGATGCCTCCATGAGAGTGCATCTGCCTGAGAGGTGAGGAACTGTCTGTGTAAAAATACGCCAGATCTGTAAAATGGATGTGCATGCAAAACTCAAGTTCTGGAACAAAACTAAAGTCCAGAAATGGACAGCCAGCCAGAACTTTCTGCTGGAGTTTACAGCCAGGGTGGGTGAAGAAGAAGAAGAAGAAATTGCCACTGGCCACTGACCTGGCTTGCTCTGTATGTTGACCACATCACCAATGTTGACCACATCAAAGATGTTGACCTACCATCCGTTGACCAAACAGATGTTGACCACATCACTGGTCTTTACCAATATGGTTGGGCTAGCTAGCAGCATATGCCTGGGAGCAGCAGTACTGTAGTGGCTGGGCACTTACCTGTTGGCCTGAGGGTCTTCGGGTCAAATCCATGTTGAGAAAAAAAAATTGGACCTTTGTTGCCGGGTTAACCCAGCCCAAGATGGGTTACGGGTAATATCTCTGGAAGTAAAAATCCAATTGCATAATATACCAGGTGGGTCACTAGTCTAAAAAAAAGTTCCTTTACTTAAAAAAAATTGAAATTATTTTTACATATTTAGTTTGATGTAAGGCTTGAAAAGAAAAAATTACCCCCCTCCCCCTCTCTTTTTTTTTCTCTCTCTTATCTTATTTGTGCACATTTTTCTTTCAGGTGATCAAACTGAGGGCCATGTTGTCAACTAAACGTGAACAAATCGCTACACTCCGCTCAGTTCTCAAGGCTAACAAATCGACAGCCGAGATGGCTCTCGCTCACCTCAAGCAGAAGTATGAAAATGAGAGGGTTATATTCACAGAGACAATGGTGAAGCTGAGAAATGAGCTGAAATCTTTGAAGGAAGACGCTGCAACATTTGCATCATTAAGGTCCATGTTCGCTCAGCGCTGCAATGAGTATGTCACACTGCTGGATGAGATGCAGCGACAGCTGTCAGCAGCCGACCAGGAGAAGAAAACCCTCAATTCCTTGTTGCGTATGGCCATTCAGCAAAAGTTAGCACTGACCCAAAGACTGGAGGATCTAGAGGTTGATCGGGAACGAAGGAACATCACCTCAAGGCGCCAGGGTGGACCCAGGAATACTAAATTAGGAAATTCTAAGGTGAGGATCTTCCTATTGTTTTACAAGTTACATTTCAGAATTTTATTCTTCTTATAACCACGGCACTGGGCTGCAACCCGGTAAAAGTGAAGAAGACAATAGATAGATGCCGATAGATCTGTAAAAATATGGGTGCTAATCCATGCCCGATGTGGCTAATTGGTGAGGGGTAATCACCATTGTACTTTTATAATCCATTCGATGTGGCATTGGTTGGTAATCACATCTGTCCACGACAGTCGTGAGTCTTGTGCAATTCTAGTTATTTCTGATGTAGATATTCCATGCATGATACTGAACTAACTTCTTTGTAGGTTTTTTCCTGCTTCTGTACCGCAACTGCAATGTCTCGCCTTGTCTAACTACAGTGCTATGCAAGTTGCAAATGTGATTGTCAAACAGCACAGCAAGATGATGCCTAGAATTTTGCACACAGCTGTTTATTGTTGGTTCTTCAGTCTGGTCGCCATCATCACTATCATAGATCAACTTGACTGTCTTTCTAGTTACACGGATAGATTCCAAAGCTAATGATACTGTTAAAATTGTATTTCAACTTGAACCTGCCATTCAAGCCTTTTTTGTAATTACTGGTATACAGGAAACAGTTAATTTCATTCAGCGTCAGACTTTCCTCATCTGCTTGGCCATCTTCTGTTCATGCCAGATATTTGCTCCCGCTGTCAACTATTCAGATTCACACAGGAACAGTCACTTGGTTTAATTATCCACTTGCAATCGCTGTCTCACACAGAATGCCTCTTTCTTCTATCCCATGTTGACTTGTTCCCTTTCCTATCCCGAGATTCTTGACTTTCATTCTTTTCTCACATGGACTCACAATCCCTTTTTTTTCCACGTTTTTTGCCTGATCATTTCCTTTGCTGGCCTGTGCACGTATTTATCCATCCCACTGGGGAGGGATTTCATGTGATTTCCTGCTGATTACACCTACTTACTTGTCATTCCCCATCTGGGTTCCAGGGCCTCATTTTGGGAGAAAACAGAATAGAATCACTGAGCTGAACTTGGATGAATTGGACAAAAAGGCGCAGATATCACATCTGAGCATTAAACCACAACACAGTGTTCTGACCACCAATTTAAGGGCAGACGCAGAGGACCTTGCTGTCACAACCTACTACAGTCTTCCCCTTCTTGTGAGATTTTCAAAGAATATAAAAAGACCTCTTTCCTGGATTTTATAGAACAATCAGCACTCAGCGGATGAACTGGTCAGCATCACTCTGGCCACTTTTACTTCCCAGGACTTTACCTGGTACCCACTTTAGACTTGGTCAGCCTGGGAGCCAAAGTCATTTTTGGAAGAAGAAAAAAATCTGGCTCGATACAAATTTGAACCCTAGACCTTTAAGCTGGAGGCTGGTGACCCAATGAATGTGGATTGTCCTGTTCAGTTGCAGTTAACCAGATCTGTCAAAATGTCCACAGCATGCTAATGGTGTTTTCATCATTCTTCTATACACCACATCTGTGCATTCTTGCCTCTTCTTCTGTGAGTGCCGATCAATACTTGTCGTGAAATGGTCAAGGTGTTTGTCTCATGCTATGAGGGTCGTTGGTTTGTTTCATGGACACACCGCACAGTTTACGGATGCAATTTTTAGGTGATACTTTAGGGATCATCACTAGTGCTATGGAGCATCTGGAGTTTGTGCTTTGTGCGACACCCTTGGTAAGCATCTGGCCATTCTGCAAAGAGAGAGAGAGAGACTGAGCCATATGAATGAAAGCCAGGTGCAGTGAAGTCAAGTTCTCTCGACAATCAGCCACACACACACACACACACACAATTGTAAATCATGCTGTTTCAATGATGTCACACATTCCTCAATAGTTGATGTTTCAATGATGTCACACATTCCTCAATAGTTGATGTTTCAGTGATGTCACACATTCCTCAATAGTTGATGTTTCAGTGATGTCACACATTCCTCAATAGTTGATGTTTCAGGGTTGTCACACATTCCTCAATAGTTGATGTTTCAATGATGTCACACATTCCTCAATAGTTGATGTTTCTGTGATGTCACACATTCCTCAATAGTTGATGTTTCAATGATGTCACACATTCCTCAATAGTTGATGTTTCTGTGATGTCACACATTCCTCAATAGTTGATGTTTCAATGATGTCACACATTCCTCAATAGTTGATGTTTCAATGATGTCACACATTCCTCAATAGTTGATGTTGCTGTGATGTCACACATTCCTCAATAGTTGATGTTTCAATGATGTCACACATTCCTCAATAGTTGATGTTTCAATGATGTCACACATTCCTCAATAGTTGATGTTTCTGTGATGTCACACATTCCTCAATAGTTGATGTTTCAGTGATGTCACACATTCCTCAATAGTTGATGTTTCAATGATGTCACACATTCCTCAATAGTTGATGTTTCAATGATATCACACATTCCTCAATAGTTGATGTTTCTGTGATGTCACACATTCCTCAATAGTTGATGTTTCAATGATGTCACACATTCCTCAATAGTTGATGTTTCTGTGATGTCACACATTCCTCAATAGTTGATGTTTCAGTGATGTCACACATTCCTCAATAGTTGATGTTTCAGTGATGTCACACATTCCTCAATAGTTGATGTTTCAGTGATGTCACACATTCCTCAATAGTTGATGTTTCTGTGAGTTAAAGTGAGAGTAGAAAATCACAGGGTTTGATCATCCCATTAGAATGCAGCTACGATGCAGACATTAATGCCTAAGGGGCTCTGATGTGAGAACCAGTTGGCACCTTTGAGTTTGGGCTAACAGCTGACATCATGACAGCACTCGGGACTTTGCCTTGAATAGTCTGCAGAGACTAGTTCATCTAGGAGTGACCAGGGGGTCTGGTCAACACTCCACATTTAAAAGAAATTCAAGACGGATATATAAATTATATATCAGTCTTGCCTGATTATAATAATCATCCCATTAAAATGCAGCCACAATATAGACATAATACCTAAAGGGTTCTGATGTGAGAGCCAGTGGGCACCTTTACAGCTTCCCAGTCGGGTGCCTGGCCCACTTGGATAGGACAGATGTTTCCTTGAAAGTCAGAATGCATCTGCCTGAGAGGCGAGGGACCTGTAGTTCTGCATACAAATAAGTCAGATCTGTAAAATGATTCTGCACACAAACTCAGCTTCTAGAAAGTCCAGAAGTAGATGAACAACCAAAACTTTCTAATAGAGTTTACATACATGGCATTGAACATTAAGAAGAATTGGAGAGTAAAGTCATGGAAACAAAACATAGTTTACGCCACATAAAAATACACTGATGTCCATATAAAGCGAGTTTAACAGTTAGATCAGTACACTGGAGTTCAGTACAGATTGTCTAAAAATGTTTGTACTTTTTAATTGTTTTTGTATTACATTGTTGGCTTACATATTAATATGAGAGTCTTAGCAGTTTGTACTGGGTATCATTTGTTCTGTTTTGTATCCTTTTTACAGAGCTGATAGGTTCTTACTGCTGAAGATTGGCATTTCTACGGAAGACTTTCCATGACTGACATCAGTATAGTAGGATGAGTGTTACTAACAGGAACAGTTCATCTCATGTTTAGCATTTTAGATTGGTTTTTATTCCAGCCCAAATTGTTAGACAACAGTTTAATTCCAGCAAAAGTTGTTAGATTAAAGCTTTTATTCTGGAGTAACGGTGAAACGCTGGCTGGAGAAAGCGACACTGCTTGTTTATATTTTGTGAATGCACATGCTTTTTTTTTAAAAAAAAATACATTTGCAAGCAATGCAAACTCTGTTCAGGATCAACATCACTGAAGCTACTGTATTAGGAGCAGTAAGGGTTCTCTTATATGGGTACCTCATGAAGCGGCAATCCCATAAAGTGACATGAAGTAATAACCATCATATAAAGTAATAATTACATGAAGTGGCTATCAGATAAAGTAACCATCACATAAATGTGCATAACATGAAGAGGCCACCATTGAAAGTAACCATTAAGTAAATAAAGTGGCTATTATATGAACTGACCATCACATGAAGTGACTGCCCAAATAAAGTGGCTGTCACATTCAGTGGCCATTCACATGAATTGGCTACTACATGAAGCTACCAACACTAGATCACATTGAAGCTAAACATGCATGAAGTCTTCACATTGCTCAAGATGACCGTGGTTTCTCCAAGGTAAACCATGTTACTGCAGGGACTTCATGTTGTACATACACACCCCATCTGACTTGCATTCCATGATGGACATTAAGTCCTTCTGTCAGTGTATGTTGAAGGATTATGTGAGCTTCTTTCTTTATCGCCTGGCCCTCTTATTGTCTTATAACGTGTTGTATCTTTATGTAGTGTCATATTTTCATACGCTGGACTGTTGGTGTCAGTTCTTTACTCTCTGCACTAGTTCTGTGTTCTAACCTTTATGTGTTAATTGTTCTTCTTGTGACACTTTTTACATTGTAATCTCTCTATCCATAAAACCTATCGTAGCACTGATTTCTATTGTCAAGTTAAATTATGCTCTCTCCTTTGTATGACATTTCTTGGGGGTTAAACTTTCTTGATGTGAGATATCCCATAATGTTTCATTCCTGCGATATTTCCATATATACCAAGTCGTCATTATGACACCCAAGTCAGTCTGTAGTTTGCACATTCTTTTTTAGTCTTTACCGTAGTTGTAATATATTTGACCCTTGTTTGTTTTTTATCTCCACATCTTGGAGAGTTCTATTTTCTGCAGCCCAGTAACATCCTGAAAAGATACAAGTTTAGCTATTTTTCATCTTCAACAATCTGAAAGATTTTGTAATAAACCTGAATGATTCTGTTGGAAATGAGTGACAAGATAATAATTTTTATTTAACTTTTAGTTGCTTTTATTTTATAAATCTGCAATCTTTGACAGAATATTTGTTTTTTTTTAAAACTATCGGTTTAACCTCATTTTAAATATCTGTTTGTCATTTCCCTTATTCTT